AGATATTTGATTTCAGTAATTTTAAATTAGTATAATAAAATTTATTAACATGCAACAACTCTTACTTTATGATTCTCTCTTCTCTATTTCTAAAGGCTAAAGCCTTGTCATAGCTTTATATCCTGGCAAATTAAGTGCAGTGGTTTCCCGTTGCCTTCTGCACTGGGAAAATGGTGCTTTTTCGCTACCGTAGAAACGTACGCATGGTCACCCATCCGTTCACCTGAGGAGGTTTAGGCGCGGCTTAACACTAGAGTTTTGTCAACAATTAGTGTGACCACCGCGTTACACCACGCCCACTTTATGATTAGAGAAATTATTTTTTAATAGTGGTGGATTGTAANACCACGCCCACTTTATGATTAGAGAAATTATTTTTTAATAGTGGTGGATTGTAAAACCGTGAATTTATGTGAAATTACATTTTTAGGTTAAATAAATTGTATAAATAATTATAAAAGTATTTTCAAACTTAGGTAAAATCTGCAGAGCGACGATACAGAGATTTTGGTATAAGAATGGAGAGAAAATACGAAGTCTTAAAAAATACCAAAGAAAATTTAGCATTTGTAGAGTCCAAACTTAAAGAAGTGGATAATTGGATTGATAAACAGTTAAATTATTTAAACGTATATAAATATGTCAGCTATGATACGGAAAATATAGATAAAATATTATCGTACTTGAAGAAAATTAACAAAGACATAGAAACACATAAAATGTTTTTGACAGACTCTTTAGCAGTAAAACTCAATACTATTGAGTTAGAAACTGAACCAATGGAATTTAGTAGTTTTGAAGAAAATATATACAAACCTATATATACAAAATTGGAAAAATTAATAGCTAGTAAGAAAATATGAATACTGAAATCTATGCTTATTTATTATCTTATACCATTGTAAAATTTTATTATCTATAACATTTAAATCTTAAACCTTAAGTTCGATTTTTTGAGCTAAAAATTTCTTTTAGTTTTAATAATATAAACTGTACCCAAGTATAAATTTTTGTTAAGTACTATTATTGGCAACAGGTTAAGTATTGCACCAGTACTGGCAACTGACCATTGGCTAACCCGTACTAACATTGTATTGGGTAGCGCTTGTTTAAGTACTGATTCAGTATTGGCAGTCAGTACTTATCTACCATTGTTGGCAGAGTACTGACGTTATACTGGTCATACAAAATTTTCAATACTAATCTAGCAGTATGAAAAAAACGTTATCATTACAGACATATTTCAGTATTGAACTAATACTGATGGACACTAGTGTGCCAGAACTGCCAGTACTGCTCCTGTTATTAATTTTTAACTGGGTATTAGTTTATTTCAAATAGTCTGGCGCCTATACGCTAAAGATAATAAAATTGTGTGATTAACAGTGTAGATACTTATTGATTATCTAAATTTATTAAATTTTATATTATTAGGAATAAACGAAGAAACTAGCAAAGTTAAAAATGTTTTTGAAACAAGTGTAAAATACGACAAATTACTTAATGAATGCCTTTTATGGTTAAAAAAATGTGAAAAAGACCTCAGTCCTGACAAACATTTGCCTGAACCTTTAGAATTATCAGATGCTCTAATATATTTTGAACATAAAATGGTTTGATTCAATTACAGTTTTAAATTGTATATAGTTTGTATAAATTTACAAAATTTTATTTTACTAGGAAATAAAAAATAATATTCAACATTTCAAAAATGGTGAACTTACAGATTTGGAGAAAATTAGTCAATTACTTATTTCTATAAGCAATAATGACGATATTTTAGTTATTAATTCTGACATGAATGGTAAATATATTTAATAATTTAGTTTTTCTATAGTTAATCTTTAATTAATATAAAATTAATTTAAACTATAGGTGTTAATGAAAAAGTCAAAATAATTGACAACATGTTTGTAATGGCTGAAGAAAACGCAATAGCAATTGTAGATAGTCGAAAAAAAATTGAAAACATTTTTAAGGAATGTCAACAATGGTTTACTGAAACAGAAGTTTTAATTTCAGATGATGTTCGTATCTCCAGTTTAAAAGCTATAGAAGATCAGCTCCAGAAAGTAATGATTAAGAATTATCTTAGAGTATAAAATTAAAGAATTAATATGAATTATTACAATTACAACTTATAAAATAATAATGTTTTTTAAACACAAAAAATTATACGTTTATTTATAACAAAATTTGATTTTTTTCTAGTATAATGACCTTTGTAGACGCAGCTCTGATATTGACAATATAATCGAATCACTTAAATTAAACAGTCAAGAAATACTTTTATCAGAATCGGACGCCTTAAAGTTTAGTGATCAGATTTTACATTTGGAAAATCGTCAAAAAAAATTAAAATTTACAATTGACGAAAGAATTAAATTGCTTGAAGAAGAAAAGAAAAAAATAAAAAATATAGCCGAAGTAATAGAAAAGAGTAAAGCATCAATTTTAAAAGTCGAATTAAATTTACAAGAATTAAACCATCCTGTTGGAAGTACAGTGCAAGACGTACAAAATATGATCATTTCGTATGAAGTAAGCAATAAATATAAATATTATTTTGTGAAAAACTATTAGCTTTTTTTTACGTCAACTTTTTTAAGAGTTTTGCACACTTCTATACTTAATCAAAAAAGGGATGTATTGCAATAATATTAACACGTTTTGGTCACTTCAAACCTAAGTTTGGTTTTTACCACTTTTTCCACGAAACTGTAAATACGGTGGCTCACGATATTTTACATATGATCTACCTTTAGTAAACTTTACATAAAATATTAGTAGTTCTTGTACAATCACACAACTTGTTCTATTAAAATAATCGTTTTAACAAAAAATCAACAAAAAATTAAAATTATTTTCATAATTTTTTACAGTTTTTATCAAATTATCATTCATTTGAAATAAATTAAAACCAAAGAGATATACTATTTATTATCTAATTAAATAATTATCTATTGGCAGTTTTATGTTCAATTATAGGCTCCCGTTTAAATAATTATAATTTTCATTGAAAATAGTTAACACGAATAGACCACATTTCTTCTGTTGTTTTTTTAATACATAGTTCCAAATTTGATAATGTAAAATAAACACATGAAAATTAAAATTTTTAAATATTACAGAAAACTCACTACTAAACATTAATAAAATGTTTATTTTATCCTCATTTTTTCTTAAAAACAACTTTTATAAATGACTATTAGCTTCGATGTGAAACAGATAAAGCATTGGTTTTATAACAATATGTTTTTTTTGTCTGTCCATGAAAATTTTCAACTCTCGATCAGAATTGTTGATTTATGCATCAAAAGTACCAGATTTTAATCTAATTGAACGTATCAGTGCCAAAAATTGTAAAATTNTTGTTGATTTATGCATCAAAAGTACCAGATTTTAATCTAATTGAACGTATCAGTGCCAAAAAATGTAAAATGTCTACAATTTTAGAAGTATAAAATATATATCAAAATTACAATACCATTTTTAAAAAAATATTCTGCATTTTAAAAATGATGATAACATTTTATTTTTAAACATTTAGTTTAATTACTATCTAGTATTTTATATTTTTATTAATTTAATTAAAATGAGTCTTACAAATATCATCCTTCTGGTTGAATTACAGTCTACTTTATAGTTATGTCTATATACAGCAATATATTTTAAGTATAATTAAAAGTAATTTTGCATTTTGTTTAAATGTATCATTTTTTGTTTTTTATCATAAACATTTTGTAACCCTTCTCCACCATAAACGAAGCTTAAAGGTGTTAATTATATTTTCTGTATATATAACAATGTTGAAAATTTTAACTAAAAAATAGTGAATACCCTTTTTTAACCCTACATTATTTAAACTTTTAATAATACGTACGAAAAATACCAAAGAGAAGATCCATATATTTTTTTATTTTGTCTAAGCCTAAAATATAAAGAATTATTATTAACTGTGAATACAAGAAAAATTGTACTTTGCTAATGGTTTTTACATATAAAATATACTTTTTAACTAATTTGTGACATAAATAAATACATTTTTTTAGAGTTTATTGAACGAACTCAAAAATTGGAATGATAAAATAGAAAATAGTAATGACAATGATTATCTTGTCGATATTATTAAGCAACAAGAAAGTTTAATCAATATTATTGAAAAACAACTAGCAAAATTAAAGCAGCTATTATATTTACACGAACAGTTCATGTCACTAATTTCAGACATTACTACGTTTCTCACTAAATATTCTGGTGTTGTGAATGAAATTGGAAAGTCCGAAAATACTATACAAAATAAAATTAAACAATTTAATGAGGTAAAATATAACTTAAATTTTGTTCATTTATATTTTTGAATGTCAACTTTTAAATTTTGCAATTAAGTAAAATTATTGAATATTTTTAACTAGGTTATGTTAAAAATTCAAGAATGTGAGGCAACCCTAGTATCAGCTACTGATAAAGGAGAAAGAATTTCTGAAGAAGGCTCGGCATTAGACAGGAATAATATTAATCAACAATTACAGTCATTAAAGCAGCAATTACTCACACTGAAAAAAGCTATAGAAAAAGAAAAACAAAAACTAGAGGTTACTGAAGCAAAGCATATAAAATTAGCTACAGATTTAGAAGAAGCTTTAGATTGGATACACGAAAATGAAGCACTTATTAAATCAAGACCAATGCTTAATATTGACGTGAAAAGTGTTGAAACTGATTTACAAGCCCACAAAGTATGCTTAAAAATATATTTTACTGCTATATAAATATTAAATATGTAAATTTATTGATCTTTATTAACATTATTGATAATTTCACGAAACATAAAATTATTCTTTATTATTCAAAATTTTAAATTGTAAATTTAATTAAAATTTTTAGGAGTTATATTTGAAAGTGAATAATCATTTGAATAAACTTAAGAAAATTTGTTCTTCAGCTCAAAATGAAAATATTGAAGATAGCACTGTGTTGGAAAATTTGAGTGAAGCTTGTTCATTTTTAAACACAATTCCAAAAGAGTTAAATGATCGAGAAATATATTTAACTACTCAATTAAAGTGTCGATTAGACTATCAAATCAATAAAGATAAATTTATTTCATGGATGACGGATAGAAAAAAATTATTAGAACAATCGAAAGAAACCACTACTGATATAACTAATATTGAAGAAACCAAAGAACAAATTAAGGTACCTACAATGAACTGTTTTTCCATAATTCTAGGGTTTTTTTTTTAATTAAAATTATTAGCAATAATGATGTTTTCATAATTATCTTTATAGGTGTTAATTTGCGATAAATATGCTTATGATTTAGTTACAAATGAAATAAAACAAAATATTGATAAAATTAGACCTTCTTTAAATCCTGAAGAAATTGAAGTGTTAAAATCTGAACAGCTACATTTAAATGATGAATTTAATATATTGAACAATTTAGCAAAAGAAATTTTAAAAGAAAAAGAAAATATTATTGAGTATTTGAAAAAATATAAACATACTGTTGAAAAGATTTTATCAATAATAAATTTCAACAAACTAAACGAAGAGCCAATAAATAATTTGGCTGGACTTTATTTTAATGTCGAAAAAATTTCTTTAATTCAAAACGATTTTCAAGTTAGTATTATTTAAATTTATTAATATTCTACACGTAATTTTTTTCAAAACTTTTATTTTAGTATTAGTATATAATTATCGTGTTAAAAAATATAATATTCTGTCAATGTCGTTAAATTAACATTTTGTTTTATATTTATTAATTATGTATACTGCGAGTATTATTTTTATCGACTTATTAAAGTTTTAATGTGAAGCTGAAAATAAATTAATTTAATTGAATATTTCCATTACTTTCATGTATTAAAATAAAATAAATTGGGTTTCTATTTGCAAACAATATCACTTTAAAAGGTTTTACTTTTGTTATTCGACGAATTGAGACTTAATTAGGTTTTTTTAGTATTTAGCTATGAATTTTTATTTTTTAACCTATTTAAAAAGTTTTGTTTGAATATCATAGAATTTTATAAGTTGAGTAGAGGAATATTTAAGTTTAAAAATAGTTTTACATAAAAGTTATGCTTCCTTGCACTTTTTATTTTGCTAATGATCTTCTAACAAGAATAACTCAGAGTATTATTATTTAGAAATTGGCATCACTAAATTATATTTTATAATATGAGATTTTAAAATAATGCTTAAGTTTTATTAAGGAAATTGAATGAAGTGCACTGTTTAAAATATATTACTCGTGTTTTAGCGGCAGCAAAATGAGCTGGATTCCCTAATAAATATTTCGAACGTTATTAAAGAATTAGTAATTAAAAATGATGAGATTGATTCAGAAGTAAACTCACTTAGTACAC